GTGTGAAAACTTGGGGTGGAGAGGGGACAGTGTTGAAAATTTGGGGTGGAGAGAGGACAGAGTTGGGGGTGCTGAAAATGGGGGGATGACACAAGCAGTGAAAACTTGGGGTGGAGGGGGACAGAGTTGAAAATTTGGGGTGGAGAGAGGACAGAGTTGGGGGTGCCCAAAATGGGGAGATGAGACAAGAGGTGAAAACTTGGGGTGCTGGGGGAGGATGCCAGAAAAGGGCAGGACGAGGAAAGGACGCTCAGCAGTGGGGGGAGAGGAGGGGACCCCCTGAGGCGGGGGGACAGCAGAGGGTCTCCAGCGTCGGGCTGTGAAGCAGGGTGGCACAGAGGGTGTCCCAAAGAGGGGTGACAGGAAGGGATGCCCCGAAGTGGGGTGAAGGGAGGCGATGCTCTAAGAGTTGGGTGACAAGAAGGCTCAGACACGGGGCGACAGAGGGGGACGCGCCCAAAGGGGTGACCCAAAGGGATATTCCAGAGAAGGGGGTGCTCCACTGCCCCCCGACACGTCCCCGGGCTCACCTGCGGAAGAGCAGCAGCCTGCAGGCACTCTCGGGGGGCTCCTCCTCATCTTCCTCACCCTGGGGGTCCCCCCGGGCGCGGGGGGCGCAGGTCCAGCAGCGCGGGATGTTGGGGGGCAGCGCCGTGCAGGGCTGGCTCTGCAGGCACCGCGGCGGCCCCGCACGGCCCCGCGGCCCTGGGGACACGGGAAGCGCTTGGGGACAGCGCTGGGAGGGACTGGGAGGGACTGGGACTGGGACTGGGACTGGGACTGGGATTGGGACTGGGACTGGGACTGGGACTGGGACTGGGACTGGGACTGGGAATGGGACTGGATCTGGGATTGGGACTGGGAGGGACTGGGACTGGGTCTGGGATTGGGACTGGGACTGGGAATGGGAGGGACTGGGACTGGGACTGGGACTGGGACTGGGTCTGGGATTGAGTCTAGGATTGGGACTGGGACTGGGACTGGGACTGGGACTGGGACTGGGACTGGGACTGGGACTGGGATTGGGTCTGGGAGGGACTGGGACTGGGACTGGGACTGGGACTGGGACTGGGTCTGGGATTGGGTCTAGGATTGGGACTGGGAATGGGAATGGGAGGGACTGGGACTGGGACTGGGAATGGGAATGGGAGGGACTGGGACTGGGACTGGGAATGGGAGGGACTGGGACTGGGAATGGGACTGGGAGGGACTGGGACAGGGACTGGGATTGGGTCTAGGA